TTTCCGCATACAACATTCGGTATTTTCACTTAAATTAATATCAACTCTACTTGAATCATGCTCATATAGTACGTTTGAATTTAGTGTGACCATTCTAACTATAACTTGAATGGTAATAATAGGGTTATAGGGCAATCTTACGTTGTTTACAAGTGCACTTCTGGGCCTCTAGTTGGCTTATAAGTGCACTTATAGACCTCTAATAAAAAGTTTATAAGTATACTTTTCAACCTCAAAAAGACTTACAAGTGTACTTTCAGACCTCAGAATGGCTTACAAGTGCACTTCCCGACCCTAGTATGTTTATTTACCGACCTCCGTGTTAGAAGACTTCTCGGCCTCTCTGTCAAGAAGACTTCCCTACCTCATTGTCAAAAGATCACTTCTCGACCTCCGTGTCATAAGACTTCCTAGCCGTTTTGTTAGAAGACTTCCCGACCTCTGTGCCAGAAGACTTCTCGACAATCATTGATAAATATATCAACTCCCCTATCACCTCAACAACCATCTCATCAAGAACTTACATGTGCTCGATTTGAGCGCCGAATCAATGGATGTCACGTCAGCTATATCAGTATTTACCATCATTATAACCCCTTGTCACTTAGTATAAATAAGACACTATACCTAGTATGTGGGGAGCGATCTTTCCCAACTTACACCACTTTAACCGGAGCTTCCCAACTTTAATTTATACGGTCAGATGGATCTTTAGTTAGTTTCCTGATCACGTTATTTTTCTCCTTATATTTGTTTTATATTTCAATAACACTGAGTAGAGTAGGTCGATATATTTACGTGATAGTGGATTTCGGCCTAGTCCAACTTAAAAAGGCTTATAATTTTTTTCCTTTTCAGGTTTCCACGTAAAATGTCTTGTCTCGCTACTCTCTTCCTACTATTCACTCTTGCTATGTATGTTGACCCGAGTCAATTTACACTATCAGGCAAGACGGCAGAACAACTCTCCAAGTCAAAGTGCATAACATTTTTTGCATATCAGTATTTTCACTGAAATTAATCTGAACTCTATACGAATCGTGCACCCACATAATTTGAACTTATCGTGATCATTCTAATTATAACTAGGATGGCAAGACGACAGAACTCAAGTACTCAAATCTATAGCTAGTAGTGAATGTGTAACCTAACTTTATTTCATTATATATACTCAATCAACATCATGTTTCAATGATAAGAACTCCAAACATACACTTGCCCAACACATTAAACTAACACCAATGCAAGGCGGGCAGGTGGTATATTCGATAGTTCCCCAGATAGAGGAAGTGCATACTCCCATGCATCCGTACGTAGTACGTGCCGTGAAGCTATACGAACATCGTGAACTGATGGTGTATGTTGAGTAATGAGAGTGATGACTAAGCTAACGTTGTTTGACATTATACTATACGAGTTTGCAAAGGCGGTCACTATTGTTATATATGGTGCATGTGAGCATGCAGAAATCAATATGCTGTTATGCATGGCCTATCGGGAAGACGGGGCAACAGAGCTACTGCAGAGTTTATCCAGTTGATCCATCAATCCAGACACTATTGTCGTCTAACGTTAACGTAGAAATGTAGAATGAAAGATTTGAAAACCCGGGCGGCCAGTGCGTTTCGGCCACCTAGCTAGCTTGTCGTGAAAACCATGACTCAGAACTATACACGTTGCGCAACACCCATCTGCACACCGAGATATATAGAAGTCAGGCACAAACTAAACCGATAGAGATGCATGTTTCAATTCATTATGAATATATATAGATCAAACTTAATTGAATAATAATGTTATAAAGCATTATTTGCACTAGGATTTAACTTAAGTGGGTTATTGGACTTACCGTGTTGGTTATCAGGTCAAGTGGTTTTGCTCGATTAATCAATTTGTGATCAACCAATTAGAGCGTGTGATCTATGCAATAGGGCCACACTCTCAATTGAGACTCGAACCCACAATCTCCCACATATCTTCGATCTACTTCCATTAAAACCAATTACTCTTTAGCATATCTCAACATAAATAAGTCATAATTAGTCTTAGTGTAAGCCTCACATCCCTAAATCCCCATAAAAGACACATTAAGACATTTCCTAGTCTTTATTTCACATACTGTCCCTTGAATGTTTTAAAAGGTACACAATTGAAAACATTAGTTTTTAAAACATGTCCTCAAGAATTGAACAAATTATTGTATAGACCATAAAAAAAAGTACATTTTTTTAATATATTAAAAGCACATTATTTGAATATACATTATACAAAATAATGTAATTTCCCGGAATACAAGGTACATTTTTAATATATTAAAATTTAAAAGTATATTATTTGTGTACTGAATGTACATTATTTGGCAAAAATTGCATGACAATCAGTCATTTCATCATCAACAACATTATTATAATTAAATTATTTTTTTCTGCTACATCTAATCCATGAAAATATAAATTTCAAGAACACAAAGAATTTATAGCTTCAGGTGGGTGAATGAAGCTCATTGGCCATGGCTGCAGCCTGCAGGTGAAGATGTTGGCCTTTCGGAGACTGTTCGGGTCGGGTTTAGATGTCAACACTTCACTATTACATAAATTCTTTGGAAATTGGGAGAGTATAGATTTTGTAGCTTAAGGGCAGGGGTGACTAGCTAGGTGTCAGGCACACACATATGGCCGGGGAAGGAATCATGCATGAATATAATAGATTCATATGCTCACTTCATAAAGATAAATTTTGTTGGCATTCCCATGTTATGGCACATATATTAAGCTGCCTAAGCACTACATATGTCATGTCACAAACTCGACCACATAAATTTTATTTTTTAAAGTAAGGTTGCATGACACTATAGTGGGGTGGGGGAAGGCCGGGAGGGGGAGTTAAATTGCAACTACATTCCCTCTACCTACCCCATTTTAAAGGAAGGACGGATAAGGTGGAGATTCTAAAATAGTAGAGAATTCCTATTGCTTATATATAGTTAATTCCTTGTCATACAGGTGAAACTTTGGAAGAATGACTAAAGATCGAGTCTCACCAGCGACAGTGTGGGAGCTACCTCTCAAAGTGATGGGTTTCTTGTGCGTAGTGAGTAAATGTCTAGCCTCTGTGGTTCATGTTCAGTTGAGTTACCATGATTTACATCCTCCCAAATGCTCTGTCGGGTCGGAATGTGGGGGCCCTTAAGGTTGGGGTTCAACCTTTTGGAAGAAAAAGAATACATTAATATACATATTGGCTATACTTATTTGTATTATTATCTCACTTATTTTAGACATTGGCTGAAATAAACAATTTGAACAAAAAATAAGCATAACTCTTTTTTAAATTACTTTTTTTAAAATGCATTATTTGTGTTACACTTTATTTAGTTATTTTTTTTTTAAAAAAAAAGCCCTTAACATACCGCATCACTCGCTTTAAGTGAGCCCAATGAGACACCATGGGAGCATGCATGTGCTAGCAGAATCGGTTAACCACAAAAGACATATCTAGGCGTGTAACAGTCAAATATTGCAGAACCCCAACCATGCTCCGGTACTGGGTAAGATAATCATATAGCTCCACTAAGTCAACCACTGAACTAGAAACTGGAATAGGAATAGCTAGTGGCTTATAGTTAGACATGCCAGCACGTTTCAAGATGTCAGTCATATAGCGACGCTAAGAGAACAACATACTAGTAGGCACACAGTCTCAATCCCAAGGAAGAACCTGGTGGCTCCTAGATCACAAATCTTGAACGCTACGGAGAGTTTGGCTAATAGGGCACTGTGCCATCGATGAAACCAATCAAGTTCTAACTACGCAAATACTGTACCCTAGACTACTGAAACCAGATGAGAATTGTAAATTCTGGATTAATCACAAAGGTTATAGAATACAACAATTATATACACAGAGAAGAGTTACAGTAGCACGGGAACAAATAGAGTCCTATTATACAGGAGTTCCTCTATTTCAGTTTAGCTAGTTTTTCCTTTTGGAGTTCCCCATTAAAGAACTGGGGACAACATCTTGTACGCAAAAGTGTACGTACTATGTTGGGAACTTGGAGCTAACTGAGTACTGGTAATTTACTATCTTCCTAGACTTTAAGCGACAGGGATATTAGAGGGATTTAGAGATAAAGATTAGTCCAGTGAAGATTAGTCCTAATATACAGGAGTTCCTCTCTTTCAGTTTAGCTAGTTTTTCCTTTTGGAGTTCCCCATTAAAGAACTGGGGACAACATATTGTACACAAAAGTGTACATACTATGTTGGGAACTTGGAGCTAACTGAGTACTGGTAATTTACTATTCCCTCTGTCCCATTTTGCATGTCTTACTTTCTTTTTTTGTTTGTCCTAAAATGCTGTCCTCTTTCCAAAATTTAACATCACCATCATTTTACTTTTTCCCAAATTACCCTTATGACTTTTGCTTTTATTTCCAAAAATGAAAAAGTGAAGGGCATAATTGGAAAATACATAACATTTACTTTAATTCCTTAAAAAGCGTGCAAAAAGAAAATGAGACAACCAATTCGGGACGGAGGGAGTATCTTCCTAGACTTTAAGCGACAGGGATATTAGAGGGATTTAGAGATAAAGATTAGTCCAGTGAAGTTGGAATATGATGCCAATCAAATAATAATAAATAAATTAATAATAATAATAATAATATGGAAGAGAATTGACCCCTTTGGTACCAAGTTGCTCCTCTATGTGAGAAGTTGTAAGTTCGAGCATTAGTAGATGGGATTTATTGGCTCTTTGTGCTTCAGTACGTTGAGAAAATAGTTATAAACAGATGCTACATTGTAATAGAGTCAAGAATTACTCAAAAAAAAAAAAAAAAAAAAAAAAAAAAGAATTGACGGGTCGGGTTATCCAAAGTACATATGGGTGGGGCAACGTGTGACCACGTAGGATTGCGACATTTCCCGGCCTAAACACCTCAATTCACCTCTATATATATCACTGCACAAACCTCCTTTTATCATTCCCCATCAACGTTTACGTGTTAATTACTATTCACACCTCCGCTCCCAAACAATATATATATAATAATGTCACTTTCTTCTACATGTCCTGCTCACCTTGCGCCACCTCCCGCAACCATGCATCACCACCCCGTCGTCCCACCGACATCTCCCCTACTACCTCTCCTCAGCCTCCTCCTCCTCCTCCTCTCCGCCCTGCTCCTCCTCCAATGCCGCGGCGGCGATAAATCCAAACACAGACGCCTCCGCCTACCTCCTGGCTCAATGGGCTGGCCTTACCTCGGGGAAACTCTCAAGTTCTACACCGAAAATCCCAACACCTTCTTCTCCAACCGTCTCCAACGGTAAACAAACATAATTATTATATGCAGTACTACCTAGAAAATCACGACGTTATTCTTGAGTTTTGGGTGTTACGTACGTTGTAGATATGGAGAAATATTCAAGACGCACATATTGGGGTGTCCTTGCGTGATGATATCCAGTCCGAAAGCAGCTAGGATCATCTTGGTCAGCCAAGCTCATCTCTTTAAGCCCACGTATCCACCCAGCAAAGAGAAGATCATCGGACCAGAAGCGCTCTTCTTTCACCAGGGACCCTATCATTCCAAGCTCAAGAAGTTGGTCCTCGCCTCTTTCTTGCCCGCCACTCTCCGCGCCGCCGTCCCGGAGATCCAGAAAATCGTCGTCAAACTTCTCCAGTCTTGGGATGACAAACCATCCATCAACACCCTGCAAGAAATGAAAAAGGTCCGTGTCTATCTGTGCTGCTTGTAAATACACAAAAAATTTGCAGATTTTGTTTTTTGGTTGGGCGGAGTCCCGCTAAGTCCAGCACAAGGTGACTAGAAAAATTATTGGGCAGAGGTTTAAACTCTAAAGGACTAAGTCCAGTATCATGTATCATGTCTCTGACGGAAGCCTAATGGGTCAAGTCCAACATTCTGTACGGCATCTTGCCTCTAGAAAATATGGCAGTATATAAAATCCTGTCTCTCGAAAATATGGTGGTATAGTGAAATAATAAAATTACAGCTTCGTTATGAGCTATAGTTTTTGGCGTATTGATAAACATGTTTGATCTTAACATTGAAATGTTGCTTTGTTGGTATTCATGGGTTTAGTATGCTTTCGACGTGGCGATGATTTCGGCTTTGGGGAGTCAGGCTGAGGTGGAGGTGGAGAGCATCAAACAGCTGTATCAAACGTTGGAGAAAGGCTACAATTCAATGCCTATAGATTTCCCCGGAACGCCCTTTCACAAAGCAATGAAGGTACTGTTTTTGTCTGTTTCCACAATAAATTCACAATTTTGGAACTTTGTTCTCAGCTAGCTTAGCTTGAAGACAACAATTAAGTTCTTTTGTTTTCTATCATTTGCAATAATATACGCTGAATAATGATAATCTCATGAAATAATTAATGAGGTTAACATACATACAGGCCAGGGCAGTGATCAGTATAATTAAATGATAGACATAATTTTATGTGGAAATGACAGGCAAGGAAGCAGCTGACGGAGAAGTTAAGGAGACTAATTGAGAAGAGAAAAGACAGGGAAGAGCATGGCGGGGGATTGTTGGGAGTGTTGCTTAGAGAAAACCATCAAAATCAACTTACTGACTCGCAGATAGCAGATAACATTATCGGAGTCATCTTCGCGGCGCATGACACCACAGCCAGTGTCCTCACTTGGACCCTCAAGTACTTGCATGATAATCTTCACGTCTTGCAATCTGTCACGGTAATATAATTAACTTACTTAATTAGTATATTTGATGATGGGAATAATAATAAATGACTAGATAAAAAAAAAATTATTTAATTATCTCATAAATTTTGTGCATGGGTTACTATATATTGCAGAGAGAACAAGAAGAAATAGGATGCAAAATTGTGGAAGGAACAGAGGGACTTACGTGGGATGATACACGACGCATGCCGCTGACTATGAGGGTATATATTTATTATTATTATTTATATCGAGTACTATCAACATCATAATACTTGATATAATTAAGTATATTATACATGATTATACTCGATATTGATCAGTAGCCTACCAGGCCACCCTATCATAATACTGAAATTATATATGATTAATGTAAAAAATCAGGTTATTCAAGAGACGTTAAGGAGAGCTAGCATCCTGTCGTTCACATTCAGGGAAGCAGTGGAAGACGTGGAATTTGAAGGGTACTTCATCCCCAAAGGTTGGAAGGTTCTTCCTCTCTTCAGAACCATTCATCACTCTGCAGATTTCTTCCCTCAACCCGAGAAGTTTGATCCTTCCAGATTTGAGGTACAAGATTGATTGATTAAATAATTAATTAAGTAATTAATTATCTGTCACTATGAGGAAGATTCATTGAGTGGGGCCCTAAATAGTATGATTCTATCCAGTTCTTGGAGAAATATAAGGTTCCCAATGCTTAGATTATCTTTGACGCTATCCTTTTCTAGTTTTAATAATATAATGTGGATCTTCCTACAACTTTTGAGTTTTGACAATGAGAACATGAAATCTGGGAGTATCAGATCACGTGATAATCGAGCCTATCTCATAGCCTAACACATTATTTAATATTTATTATAGGAAGGATATGATATCCATGCACTGTATTCTCATGCCAAATACCACCTTATATTACTCTATAATGAATTTACATTCTAGGCCCTCTAGGAAATGTAAATATATATATATATATATATATACACACACACATCAATATAGATATATATAATGGACTGGGGAGACATTTTGTGTGATGGTGCAGGTGCCACCCAGCCCCAACACATATATGCCATTCGGGAATGGAGTACACTCTTGTCCGGGTAGTGAGCTTGCTAAGCTTGAGATGCTCATTTTCCTTCACCACCTTACTACTACCTACAGGTAACCCCCCCCCCCCCCCCCCCCCCCTCTTAAACTGGGAGTAAAATTTTTGCCACATGTTCTGATTCTATTAGAGAAAAGAAACAAACAAAAACTATACTTCTTTTTTTGTTTTTTTCTTAAATCAATCAAAACATGTCACGTTAATAGAGAGTAAAAAATAGAATAAAAAGTTCGAGTTTGCAAAGTATTACTCTGTTTTTTGTACTGAAGATTGGACCATTGGGCAGTGGAAGTGGTCCTTCTGAGCTTTGCTGGAGGCAGATCCTTTGAGTGATTTATTTGCATTTTCATTGAGAGGTAGGATGTGAACAATAAAATCCTAACAAAGTAATCAAAATATTAGATTTGAACCAGCTGATTATAACACATGGTTTTCAGAGGCAATTTGACTTGTATAGTTGTATTATTCGGGTTTCAAGACTGACATGACTCAGACTTGTGAGGCTATCAAGGAAATGGGATAAGAGAAAAGAAAAAGAGCTAGCAAATTAAAGTTCATTAATTTAGAAATAGAAATTTTTATTAAGAGGTAGAGGCAGGCTAAAGTTTCAATATCATCTTAGTTACAGGGTCATTTTCGCGTTTACATTTGGTTTAGACAAGACTCAAAATTACTATGTTGTCCATTTGAATTTGCAGTTTTTTCAAAAGTCCAAAAATAAAAACATTGAATTGGTTGGTCAAAAATTCCCTACCTGGTATATTTGGTTCCTCTATCCCTGCTTCCAAAATATCACAAGGATGGTATGATTAGCTCTGTCTGCTTGTACTCTTTCCATTAGCATCTGCAACCACAAATCCACCCAGATTTGTCCCTAGTTCACTGGAAAAGTCAAAACACACATACAGTTGATTGAGAACAAGGACAACAATAATTTATGGGATTTCAAATTGTTTATTCTGGTTGCTGAATAGTTATAGTAATTCCAATCCTTACAGTGTAAGGATGTGTAAAGACATGCGTGGCAAAATCTCATCGAAACCTGCTAACGCTAAGAATTCATTAATTCGCTGATTTTTGGCTGCAGATGGAGAGTGACTGGAGACGAGGATGGTATCCAGTATGGGCCATTCCCTGTACCAAAACGAGGCTTACCAATCAAAGTTCAGCGAAGGCTGAAAACAATGTGATATTCTTCTCATCATCCAAACATCAAAATCTAGAATTGTAAATCAAAAACAAGAGAGAACACCGGGGTCAAAAGCGGACAACCCATTAAGTCCTTTTTCTTCAATTTCATTTGTCACAAAGTGTGGCTAAATATCTTCTGTATCTCAGTTCTTTATCAGACTAGGGGTTCTTCAACTGCGTCTGTTCACCAATTGCACGGGCATAGTGCAAGCTGTATGTGATGTATATGTTTAATAAACAACAAAATATTCAATGAAAAAAATCAACAGGTACAATGTCCCCATATGCATGCAGCCTGCTATGAAAATGGTACACTAAACAGATATGTGTGTGGTTTTATAGATGCAGGAAGTAGCTATCAATCACCTCCTTGGTTCTTATTTTCGTTGAATGAAATCTATGAACCAAACGTAAAGGAGGCGTGTAGCATGTGGGGGTGCAATACACATCAGATGAGGTAGTTGTGCAGGTTAGAATGCCGCGTACAGTAAAGCCACTGCACAATTTTAGTAATCTACAGTGTATTGAAGGAAAAACCAGCTGTTGATGGAGACCAATGATGCTACATATGAGGAACCATATCGCCAACAGTGGCAACATGCAATGTCTCACTACATTTACCTAAAGAATGTGGACAAATTAAAGATAAACATGCTTCTTATTTGTAGTAAGGATAGCAATATAAATTTGAGCACAACATTAAATTTGAGCACAGCATTAAGATAAACAATCACCATCAGTTTTTTTGGTTAGTAATGAGTTTTAAGCAAAACTCAAAATGGTAAGTCATATTCCAAAGTGAATAAATGCAAGGAAACATTAAGAATAATGCAATTACTAGCTGCTGAGAATGCTGCTATAGGACGCTAAATTAGTTAATTTTTCTTAAAAGAAACAACAGCTCACATAGTCACATGTATTTTCCTTATCTTATAGACAGCAGCTGCGAAGCTTATCTAATCATAGTCATAAGAGATATTAAAAATGAGGTAACATTTTAAGCTCACCATATCCACAAGCAAAGCAAAGCAAGTTGTTCGGGAAGTTATTTCCATAAGATCAAGAATGCAGTACATCCCCATAACCAGAGAGTAGGTCCAGCACTGTTTGTTATGAAAATAACCGGGGTATAATATATGACAAATATGTAACATCAAAGCAATTCATGGACAATCTTAAAGAGATTAATCAAAAGAGTACCTCCAAAACGACTTCCGTTAAGAATCTGTGGACTTGTTTCTTGACATTACTGTATTCTCCTTAATCCTATCAGAATGGAAGGTTGGGTAAACTTATCCATACCATGTCAAAGCATGCACTTTCAGTTCCAGTCATTTGCTGACTTGAAAAATGCTTCAAGTAATTCACATCAACCACATTACCATGATAAAGGATGCCAGGTGAAACAAAGCTCCAAATACAGAAAAGTCAGCAAAATGTATGAACCAGAATGGATAATAATAAAGTAGACTAAGGAGTCATCACAGATTTTGCAAATCTTTATTGGAGTCCATAAAAGTCAAATGTGTAATGTAGACACATGACGTTTTCTTTTCTTTGAATTTTCCATATCAATATCAACAACTTAAAAGCATAAACTTTGCAAAGTTAAGGGCCTGTTATGAATTGGAAACATAGCTTTCTATTCAAAATGAGCTCCTCTTCTATATTCAAAAACAGAATATAGTATTTTCAAACTTAATATGGAAATTTGGAAACGTAAATCCTCATCCATGGCGGTTGCCTCTACTCATAACCACCATCTCCACCATTGCAACCTTTGCACATCGCCTACACCAACCAGTATAGCCCACTGCATACCATCCACTATTGGGGGTCAAGACATACTGGGAAACACCAAATTGAAGCAAATTGAATTTGATACCAAACATGAAACTAATATAACCTAATATGAGAGTTTCATTTTCAACTTGGTTTCCACATTGAGTCATTGACTTTTGGTTACAGTTTAGGGCCTTGTCACAATTTGAACCAGAACCCAACTTCAAATCATCTGCAAAAACATAAAATTGAACTAAATCTAAATGCATGGAATTTGAAACAAACAGAAATTAATACCGAGGACAATTTAAAACCCAAACTTCATTTTGACACACTATATAGTGATGTTTAGGAACACAAATCCAAAACTGGTATCTCAAATCATAAATCTAATACACACCACAAATTTCAAATTTTAGTTTTGTGATTTTTAGCTTACCGTTTAGACCACCAAAAAAGATATGATGTCCAGAATTTTAACAAAAACAAGTTTGACACGTTTTAGGCTACCCCTGCCCCACTATAACTGAGACTTTCCAGTAGAATTTTTTTTTTTTTTTTTTTTTTTTGTACAAAGAAACAATAACCGTGTTTTCAAATTCTCTAAACTGAAAAACAATTGAATTTGATGATGTTCTAAATTTTCCAACTGAAGAAATAAAAACTTGTAAAACTTTAGAAAATATAAACCGAAAATGGAAAGAATATTCTGCAACCAAACAAGCCAAGCATGCCAAAATAATCAAACACTAATAATTTTCACCTGTTGCAAGCTGCAAAAATCTTAAGCAGAGCATGCATATGAGTAACATAGTTACCTAATACGCCCATTCTCCTTACACATACATGTTCATTGGTATTCCATTTAAGGTTACAAAACAGTTACTAATGCACTGATTGTTCTACGCACTACTTAGTTGCATTAATAGTTTTTCTGTTGTATTGTTTTATAGGCACTCAGTTACATTAATAGATTATTATAGAATTAGAGTGTTAATAAATAATTCACCGCATTAAACACCTGATAATACATTCTACTTATGTATTAGGTTGAATTCAATTTTCCTAAGTATTTTGATGTGCTAACAATGGAACATAACATTTGATCGTATTCGAATAGGAATATCTAACCAAGTGTTTGTGGAAAGGTCAAAGCGGCATTGTTACCTTCCAAACGAGCAAAAAAGGCGATGCATCGAATCCATCGATAACTTGCGGTTGGACAGTTCACTTTCCATGGCGGGTTTTGAATGAGTCAGTCGGTGTCTACAGTCTACTGTAACTCTGTAAACGCTAAGCACTGAAGCCGCCCAGCCGGGTAAGATTGTTGGGCCCCGTTATTCTATTATGTATCAAGCTGCGGCACGTCTACGGTCTCTAATTAAGACATCAAATTAGATAAGGGAAAAAGATTAAATAAATTCCTAAACTTTATAAAAAATTGATTATGACCTTTAAACTTTTAAAAGTTGTAATTAAACGCATAAACATGTTATTTTAGAGTAATGAAATTCATAAATTTGTTATTGACCTGTAATTGTAGGTCAACTAGAGTTCTACCAATTCCGCTGAATGTCCGACCAAAATTCTAGTAATTTATGTCAAAATTATCGACAAAACGATCACCGATCGCGTTTGGAGAAGGTGACCAAGTTGGTTGCCTTCTCTAATAGTCGGAGAATGCGACCAACTGGTCGCCTTCTCCACCGCCGGAGAAGGAGACGAAGTTTGTCACCTTCTCTAAATACGACCGGCGACCATTTGACGGTCTCCGATCTCTGGTATTTGACATGGATTGTCAGAATTTGGTCGGACATTTGTCGTTTGTCGGAACCCTAGTTGACTTGTAATTACACGTCGTCAACAAGTTTGTAGGTTTCATTACTTCAAAATAATATGTTTGTTAGTTCAATTAAAACATGTATAAGTTTAAGGGTCTAATTGACTTATTAGGTAAAGTTTAAGGTCTTATTTGACCCTATTTCCATTAAATAATACCGTTTCAGACTTCAGAGCAATAGTTATGCTGTGCAACCGGCATGGTGCACACGGTTGCAAAACAATGTCGTTTTGACTAAAAACGCGCATCCCATTTAAAAAAAATAAAAATCAGTTTTGATTCCCCTCAACAGCATTATTGTGGATATATAGTTATGAATTTATGGATATTTAGTTCATTCATTGTGGATATTTAGTTTATTCATTCTGGATTTTGTGTTATTCATTCACTGTGGATATATAGTTATGAATTTGTGGATATATAATTCAAATTATGCACAAAAAAATGCTATTACCAAAAATCAAACCTAATTTTTTTTTTTAAAATGGGACGCGCGTTTTTAATCAAAACGATGTCGTTTTATGGTGCACACAGTTGCAGAGCATAATTAGCGACTTCAAAGTGACCAAATGTTGGAATAACACTACTCCAAATAGAATAACTAGGCCCAGTTATTCTTGCAATTTGGGCTTTGTAATCATGGAGTATAATTTATGGGCCTTGTTAGGAGGCAAACAACGGCAAATTATTGTGTGACCATGAATATCAGGTACATTTTTAATATATTGAAGGTATATTATTTTTGTACTGAAGATACATTATATAAAATAATGTAACCTTAGTATATCAAAAATTTATTTTAAAAAAATGTAGCTTATATACATAAATAATGTACCATTAATATATTAAAAATGTACTTTTTTATTTATGGTCCACACAATCGTGTAGACCATGGTTCATGCAATAATGATTGGCAAACAACAACTTCTGAGCAACTTTTTTTATTTCTTGAAAAGTTTTTATTCGTTTCTATAACTATTCATGTAGTATTTGCTCATTTTTTAAATGTATCAAATTATTATATTTATAATTCACCTATTCTTTTTATCTACGTCCCTACAATTTTAACTCATTTTTAAAAGTAGTCTAATTTTTACATTATTTTTAAAATAAAATTAATATTTTTGAGCCCCCCACCTTGCCAATTGCTAGTTTGGCAAGGTGGAGGGTAGGGGTGAGGTCTTTTTACTTTGTTAAAAATATTTGTTTGCTTGTATCTATATATCAATATATGTATTTAAAAAATGTCATGACTATAAGCCATGTTAGATTGTAATGAATCTTTTTTTTTTTTTTTTTAGAATAGTAATGAATTTTTTTTAGATATAAAAATATTGTAAACGATATAAAAATGTTGTAATGTGTTAGCAATTTATGATTAATTTTGAAAATTTACAAATTAATTTCCGTGTAGTTAATCATTTTCTTCACCCAAGTGGATTACAATCACTCATAATGGCATATAACAATGGCATCACAATGTATGTAGCCTTTTCTATTCCTTCATTGTATTTTTTTTTCTTGTAATTTAAAAACGATTATTGAAACATTTGTAATATCTTCTTAACAACATTTTTATAATTTGTTGTGGGTTGGCATTTTTACTCCTTTTTTTTTAGTACTATTGACTATGTGTTGACATTTTTACTTATTTAAA